GAAACCTGTAACCCCAGAGACACACAGAGAAGATGCAAACTGCTCTGAAAAATCCTAAAGCCTTCTCTCAGGTTGTCAGCAGGAGCACAAAATGAACTGCTTTACTAATCCTCTTCTCATATGTGGAGAGATCCTTAATAAATTGTGTTTGGTGCAAAGTGAACCATTAGAGGTAAAAGGTTTTCCAGTGAGCTTAAGTGCTCAAGTATTTCTTACTTATAGCAGTCTCCTCCAGAAAGCTCCTGACGTCATGTTCGTGAAGGACTCAGGACTGAGACAACAGCTCTATGTAAATGCACAAATGCAGTGTGAATGTGTTTGATTTTTACATATGGGATAATACACCAGCATGCCAGAGTCCTCTTTTTTAAAAACAACTGATATGTTTAAAGCCACACTGTGGACCATTCCAGGCAAAGAAATAACATCACCATAGAGACAGAAGTGTCGAACTCAGACCAGAAACATTTAACAGTCAGAACCTTCTGTCAATCATTATTTTTGTATATAGCTGAGATATTTTTATTTCCTCTCTCTGCTCTGTTCCACCTTGTGATGTCATGAAGTGGTAGTTTTCAAATGAACAGCTCCTTTTACCTTTAGTTCAGAGACTGGCAACTCCAGGACTGAAATGATCCACATAATTCTAGTGAAAGTTGAAGTTTAAAAACCCAGCAGAGCTTAATGTATTACCACATGACATCACAAGGTGGAACAGAGTGTTTTCTGTTTGAGAGGAGAACTCCAGATATGTTTGTGATGAGGAAACTACATTATACAGACAAATATCATAATAAGAGGCTTTTAAAGAGAAGAGGCGCAGATGTTATGTGAAGCTGAGTGGCTCATGTTTGTGCAGATTCCAGGAAAAGCTCCTGATACTGTAATTATCAGAACGGTTATAGAAGAAAATAGGTCACAGCGCCTGGAAAACAAGAATATAATGGTTACAAACAAGACAGTGAACATGCTCTGGACACAGCACACAACAAGAGAGAACACACTTTGGTTTTTTGAAGAGTTTGGGGCAGATCACTGTGTTTCTAAAGGGCCCATATTACATCTGTATGTCTGGTCTGTGTTCTAGTGGAGTTTCCTCATCACACACACACCTGCACTTGTGTTTTGTTTCATTCACACATGTGTCACACACAAATCCTGCAGATTTAGACTGAATTCTTCTTCAAACAGAAAACACTCAGTTCCACCTTGTGATGTCATGTGGTGATACAGGAAGTGCTCCACTGTGTTTTCAAACTCCTCACATCGTTGCTAGAATCATTTGGATTATTACAGCCCTTGAAATGAATCTCTATTAAACTAAAGGTAAAAAGTTACTTTGAAAACTACTACATGACATCACAAGGTGGAACAGAGCATTTTGAGCTTTGGAGATGTAGACAGACTAATAATAAAATGTTACTCAAACATGTGAATGAAACACAACTCCAGGTCTGTTTTGAGGTTAGAAAAGTATTATAACAAGGCTTAAAGGTCACAAGAACCCACCTGTGTATAGGACCTTTCATTTGTGAATTTGTGGTTATGGTTCCACAATATACCAAAACAAACAAACAAACAAATAAAAGCATATGTTAATATTGGCTGATGCAATAATTCTTCTCTGACTCTCTGGTGGCATCAGCCGACCTGTACGGTGTGGTCTGCTGGAGCAGCAGCATCACAGAGAGGGAGAGGAAGAAGCTGGACAAGATCATCAAGAAGTCCAGCTCTGTCCTGGGCTGTCCTCTGGACTCAGTGCAGGAGGTGGAGGACGGGAAGGTCCTGGCTAAGGTCATCTTTATGCTGGGCCATGAGTCTCACCCCCTGCAGGACGCTCTGTAGCTTCAGTGACTGATTCACCCTCGCTTTGTGAAGGAGAGGTTTTGCAGGTCTTTCCTTCCTGCTGCTGTCAGACTGTACAACAAACACTGTTCACACTGAACATGTGCCATTCAACTATATCTATGTGCAATTAATTTTAAGTCTATTTTAAAATTATTTTTAAGCCATTATTTATTATCTGTTTTATTGCAGGTTACCTTTTTCCTGCTGTTGTTGAATTGTGCATTGCAACACTGGAATTTCCCCACTGTGGAACTAATAAAGGCATATCTTATCTTATCTAATCAATATTGCAAGAAAATGAATATATCCCAACACAAAGATGAACTGTGCTCTTTTTGGAAAATCAAACACACTAAAAGGTTTAATCTTAGTTTTTATTTTAACCAGTAAATTATGTGATTTTGTTCATTTAACTGAAGGCATTGAGACAAAAGGTAAATAAAAAATAATTGCAATAATATCATTTGTTCTTGAATATTGCATATTTTTTTCTCGTGTCACGCTGCCCAAGTTGTGGTTGGAAAAAGTATCCTGGAATTAGAACTATGAGGTTAACATTAGCAAATATGTGTCATTTTCTTCAAAGCAACAGTTCTGTTCTGACTCTTCTGCTTGGCTCTGATTTTCCTCTCAATTTGATTTCAGCGCTCAAATCCTGCAAGAAATATAAATAAAAGAAATAATACAAGTACGTGTCTGTTCAGGTGAAAATAGATGGTGCCCCCTCTGGGAATTTTATAGTGCACATAAATAATACTTTATCACCCCTTTTTATTTCTCTCTTCTTCAGAGAGGAAGCGACAGCGAGAAAGAGAGAGAGACTTTATTCTCCATTTTCCCCTTTCTTTCTTTCTTTCTTTCCTCTCACTTTCTCCTCCCTCACTTGCTCCTCGGTCTCTCTTTCTGTCTGTCACTAATTCCCATCTCTTTTAGTCTCCCTCTCCCTTGTCTATCCTTCCCTCAGTATCTCTCTCGTTCATTCTCTGTTCTTCATCCCCCTCCATATCCTTTTTCTCTCCCTCCCTCTCTATCCATCACTCCTTCCTCTTCTTGTCTTCTTGTCTTCTTGTCTCTCTGTCTGTCTGCAGTGTTCTTCTCTCTAAGGTTTAATTACATGACTTTATCTCACTGTAGAATTCTATCACCAAAACACATCACCAGCACCAGCAGCACCAGCAGCACCAGCAGCACCAGCAGCACCAGCAGCACCCGAGGGAAACCAGTGGGGCCGGTGACACTGGACTGAACCCAAAGACCGTAAACTGTTCACAAAACCTGCAACAAATAAGTCGCCCTTGGCAACTCTGTGCATTTTCTGTGGCACCTCTCTGCAGGACGCACAAAAACACTAAAGGTAAGTGTGTCTCAAATAAATAAATTAATAAATAAATAAAAATAAAAGTTTTCTGCCACATTTTTGTCTCCATGGAGATTTTATTGCTTTTGCTGGAATGTTCTACTGCACTATGGCATTAAACGAATCCAGCCACATGGAGACAAGCAGGCCAAGTTACAGGTCAGATCTGTGGAGAGGCGACACTGCTCACAGTAAGAATGCATGTTTTCCTATGTATTTTTAAATCATAAAAACACCTGTATTTCAAATAGTTTTAATAGACAATCAGACAACTGACCCTCCCCAGAAAAGTTCCACAGAGATCTTTCCCACACAGGAGCGTGAAATACTCTGCAGGACAACGGGACACATATATACACACATATATATACACATACATACACATACATAAACATACATACACATACATAGACATACATACACACACACACACACACACACACACACATATAATATATATATATATATATATATATATATATATAATATATATATATATATATATATATATATATATATATATATATATATATATATATATATATATATATAAAAAATGTGTTTTCTCACCTTCCACGGTGGTAGGTCTCTCACCCTCATTGAGCTCGGGTCCTCTACCAGAGGCCTGGGAGCTTGAGAGTTCTGCGCAGTATCTTTGCTGTTCCCAGTACTGCACTTTTCTGGACTGAGATGTCCATTGTTTTTCCCGGTATCTGTTGTAGCCACTCTTCCAGTTTGGGGGTTACAGCCCCGAGTGCTCCGATCACCACAGGCACCACTGATGCCTTTACTTTCCAGGCTCTCTCCAGCTCTTCCTTGAGCCCCTGGTATTTCTCTAGCTTCTCGTGTTCCTTTTTCCTGATATTACCATCGCTTGGTATTGTGATGTCAACCACCACGGCTCTGCTCTGTTTCTTATCCACCACCACTATGTCTGGTTGGTTCGCCATCACCATTCTGTCAGTCTGTATCTGGAAGTCCCACAGGATCTTGGCTCGGTCATTCTCCACAACCTTTGGAGGTGTTTCCCACCTTGATCCTGGGGTCTCCAGCCCGTACTCTGCACAGATGTTTCTGTACACTATGCCCGCCACTTGGTTATGTTGCTCCATGTATGCTTTCCCTGCCAGCATCTTACACCCCGCAGTTATGTGCTGGACTGTCTCAGGAGCCTCTTTGCACAGTCTACACCGTGGGTCTTGTCTGGTGTGGTAGATCTGGGCCTCTATTGCTCGAGTGCCCAGGGCCTGCTCCTGAGCAGCCAGGATCAGTGCCTCTGTGCTGTCCTTCAGACCAGCTCTCTCAAGCCATTGGTAGGATTTCTTGATATCAGCCACTTCAGTTATGTTCCGGTGGTACGCCCCATGTAGGGGTTTGTCCTGCCATATATATATATATATATATATATATATATATATATATATATATATATATATATATATATATATATATATATATATATATATATATATATATATATATATATATATACACATATTGTACATACACAACACAAGGCACAGAAACTTCTAGGCAGAAAGAGCACTGGCATTTCTGAGGCATTTGTGCCCTCTAGTGGTACGTTAGTGTACTACAACCCCACTGACTAAAACGCTCAAAATTATTTTACGCATTTGTTTATCATTTCTTATCATTTATTTAGACTTTGTAAAAATACAATTTATAATGAAGAAAAAAAAAAAAAAAAAAAAAAAAACAACAACATTAAATTACATGAATATTTTGTTCATTTCACGAAACCTTTGCTCTTCTCTGATTGGTCGGTGTTGGCTGTTTGTGTCACGTGATATCCAACATGGCTGCGCGTGACAGGAGCGTGGATCATGGAGCTGATCATGGATCTGTGGATCTAGTGAAGCACAGCAGCGGTGAGGGAATCTGTGCACTTTAGAAACGTGTCTTTACATTCAACACGTACTTTACAAAGAAACATTTGTGGAGTAACTAGTTCATGAGGCCAACTTCATTTGATTCACTTTGGTCTCTAGTCCGCTGCTCTGCTCTTTGAGCTTGATCACAGCTGACAAGTTTTATTGTTTTATTTTGAACATAATATAAATGGTGAAGGAGAGCTAAAATGCGTCAGTGTAGCACAAGGTGACCAGATGTTCTAAATCAAAAACTGGGACATCCCCTGTTTTTTGGAAGTTAATAATAATAATAAAACTATGAAACGAGCGCGAAATAAAGGAAAGTTGTTCTGCAGAGACCGTTCATAACAAACATGTGAGCCAGTATAGTCACATTTTCTTTGTGTGTTTCTTCGTTTTTAAGCAGCTTTTCTGTGTTTTAACCAAACAGATGACAAATGTACATGTCTCTCTTTACTGTTGGCAGGGATCAGATTGGTCAAAAATAGCGACACCTGGGACATTTCTTGTGTAAAACTGGAACAAATCAGTGATTTTACATTAATCTGCTAAGTTAATGGTTGCAATTTTATTTTAGTATTACTCCATTACTACTTAAGTTGGTGGATCTAATAATATGAGATCTAAAGATGTAAATACGTCAGCTTCAAGTATGTGTGTATAAAATAAAAGCTGCTTACCCTGTAGTTTAGAGCTCTACAAACATGGACCAGTGTTTCTTCGTGCGTTTTATTCAGTCTATGATGGCACAGCACATTTTTTATATTCATATTTTTATCTCAAACAATTTGCTGAGAATAAATGTCACCTGATACATGTACAGTCTTAAACAATATCTACTTTTTATGTTTAGAACAATACAAGGAGCAACATAGTGTGATTTTGTTATGTCATTTTCTAGTCCACTTTTTTTAAAGATTATCAGTGAGGAATTAAAAAGGCCAATTTTAAAACTAGATACTTACTTTTCAAAAATATTTAGCCCTTCTTTGACAGTATTCCTCTCCCTTTCCTCACTCTCAGTTTGATTCCAGCACTCAAATCCTGCAGGAAATATAAATAAATAAAATAATGAAAGTGCGTGTCTGTTCAGGTGAAAATAGATGGTGCGCTCTCTGGAAATTTTATATTGCACATAAATAATGCCTTATCACCCCTTTTTATTTTTCTGTTCGCTTACTGAGAGAGAAAGAAAGAGAGAGAGGAAGAGACAGAGAGAAAGAGCAAGAGACTGTTTCTTTTTCTTCTGTCTCTTCACCTTCTTTGTCTTTCTCTCTCCCTCTCCATCACTTCTTCCTCTATCCTCCTCCCTCTCTCTCAGTCTCTCAGACAAAATATTCAGTCCATCCTTGAGAGTATTCGTGTCTCCCTCAGATCAGGACAGTATCCTGGAGCCCCTGTGTTTCCCGGAGCGTCCCGAGACCAGCCCCTGCCCTGGGTCGGCCCTAGATCGGCCCTGTCCTGGAGTGGACTGGACCGGCCTGGATCACCCCTCCTCTGAGCTCCTGGTGTGTCTTTTCTGCCCTGAATCCCTCTCCTCTCATCAGAAAGATGTCCTGCTCAAACATCTGCTGCTGCAACACAAACTGGTGATCGCAGACGTGAAACTGATTGCAGATCTACCACAGTGAGAACGCCCTCTTTTGATTGATTATTTGATCTATTATTTCAATCTTTTGATGGTGGTGGTCTATAAATGTTGCCCATCCATGGCCTTCAGATGAATGGAAAATCTATCACTGTTATAATAAATATAATTAAATATTGTATCATTTGATATGTTTAGATGTTTAATGTTTTTTTTATTTTTTTATTAGACCTGACGTTCTAGAATGAACCTAATGACACTTGTATGCCATCTCCTGCTCCTGCTTTCGTTCTCAAAATAGGCAAAGAAAAGGCATATCTTATTTTAGGTTGCCAGATAATACTTCTGTTATTCTGCAGATATTTACTGTACTGGAAAGGCAGATTCTTGGAGCAGCCGGTGGAAGATTTCTGTAGTGTGATCAAGACCAACTCCCAGGGTCCAGTGGGTAAGAGAACCCATTGATTTGTGTCATTTCATTTTCATTCAGAGAAACTTTAATGTTGTTATATTTATTATTATTTTGTTTTGTACAGAGAAACAGGAGGAGTATTATCTTCTGTGTGATGTTCTTCCAGAGGACAGAGTTCTCAGGGAAAGGCTCCAACAGAAAAGACTGGTACAGCTTTGATTTCATACTGCAGTAATAATAATAACAGTTAGATACATGAGTGAAAATGACTTGGATTTATAATATTAATCTTTTCCCTTAAACTATATAAAGAAACATCCTGAAGAAACAAAACACGTATGTTAAAGCAGCTCTATTATGCAAAATCTAATTTTCAGAGAGTTTAACTATGTGATGATTGTTTCCTTCACCTGACCCTCTTCAAGTTGTATTTGGAGTGATTCATAAATATTTGAAGGCACAGGCCCACTGCTCTCTTCTTACTTTAATTTTTTATTTTTTTTTACTTAATCTGTGAAATCAGATCCTCCGCTGTGATGTGCATTTGTCCAGAGCTTCATGGCTCTTTTTTAAAATGATGTTCACGACATCATCATCTCAAATCATGCACCGCAGTTTTCTAACTTGGAAGTCAGTGGACTTGTTTCATTTATTAAGTCTTTTTAAATTAATATTGTGATTTAAAATGTGCAGATTATAACATAAAGATCCAAGATCCCAAAGTGTCATAGATTATGACGACAGAGCAGACACAAGACCAGTATGTGTTCTTGAGTGTCCCTGTTTTCACATGAAGAGCCTGTGTTTGCAGGAGGACGTGTTGGAGCAGCAGCAGAGGGAGAGAGAGGACACCTCGTTCCATCGGCCCTGTATGTTCTGCAGCGATGAGTTCACTGGAAACAGGTCTGCTACGTCAACAGAAAGTTAGAACTCAGGTTTTAAAAGAATATGTATGAAAGTATTTTAAATTATTGACACAGTTTGTCAGACTAATCAATTCTCATATAGAATCTGTTCCCACAGACGTTTTATAAATATGTCAATTCTTTGGTGAGGATCCTCCACCAACTTGTCTCCATGGATTCTTATTAGTTTGTATGTTCCATACTGTGGCATTCAGTTTGTATATCTTGCATTTATTCCATTGTAGGTGTTTTTAGTTCTCACCTCTTCACAGATCTGACATGTATCTTGGTCTTTTGATGCCATTTACCAAGCTTAATGCCGTACTCTGGAACCTGGAATGTTCGGAATGTTTTGGCAGTATGGCATTAAGCTCGTTTAAGCTAAATACTAGAGACAACATGGAGACAAAGAGTTGCCAAACCCTTCACCAAAGAACACTCTTGATGTAACTTTAAATTCTACTCAAATTTAAAGAATCTAAAATAAAATGTGTCAGTTATAGTTGACCAGTGATTACTTAACCAAAGGTAAATCTCACACAGATGTTATCACACCATAAACAATTCAATAATAAAGTCTATTTGGAAATATTTCAGACATCAAACAGGAGGAAAAGGGGAGATGAGGACAACTATAAAATGAACAAAGTTATTTTGTTTTTTGCTGTTTCCAGGTCAAGTCTGTTAAACCACATGGCCAAAGAGCACTCGTTCAGTATTGGACTCCCAGATAACATCGTCTACTGCAACCAGTTTCTAGACACGCTTCAGAACAAACTGGACAGGTCTGATATGTACAGAAATTTACAATAATTGAAATGGCAATTTTTACTGATGTAGTTTTGTTAGCAGTTTACAATGTTTATACTGTGAGAAAACCTTTCGAGATAAAACCACTCTTAAGGATCACATGAGGAAGAAATCACACAGACGAATCAACTCCAACAACAGAGAATACGACAGGTTCTACATCATCAACTATCTGGTAAATACTTGTGTCTTTTTATCATCATTATTTAAAGGAACTGTATGAACGATTTTGATTTGAATTTCACAAAGTTGACCTTTCTGTGTCTTCAGATATGATGTAAACATGTTCAGATCTTACTGAGAACAATTCTATTGCTGATGTATTCTTAATTACCAAAAAAAAAAAACATTGCACAATTATACCAGTTTCAGTGCTGAAATTCAGTTGGTTTAAACATAAAATGTCTCTCTCTGATGTGAATGTTCACTATCTAAACCGCAGCACCTGCAGCCAGCCATGAACCAGTGCAGCCTCTGAGTGAATTCTGGAGGGTTATGAGGTTATGAGGCGAGGGTGTTCTATATAGAGAGAAACTGTAAGAGTGAAGGCTCCATACAATTCTTTAATATTATCTTGTATACATGATTTTTTGTCTGCTTTAGGAATTGGGGAAAACCTGGGAGGAAGTGCAGAGTGAAGATGATCGTGAGCTGGTAGACGATGGAGACGAGTAAGTGTTTAAAAAAAGTAAATCCATTGAGTTCTGATTTTGAATTTTAACTATTCAGTGGTCTGGTTTTTAACCCCGAAAATTTTGATTCAAAGAAATTTATAGTATTTACTATCTTATGATCAACCAATACTAGGAAAACAATTGTGCGTAATAGTTTTTGCCATTTGCCCAGCTCTATGCTGCGCAGGCTTTACTAAACCTATTAAAGATCTTAGCATTGCCCTTTCATTCATTTTAATCGTCATGGGTGTTGTATTATTTTACATGGGGCTGCTGATCCTGACAGCAAGTAATTCTATAGACTATAAAGCCATTTTAAATTCTCCAGACAATCTGGGCAGTGTGAATTGTTGGAGCACATGATCGTTAAACATTTTACACAAATCAACCTACCGTATTTGCCGCACCATAGGACACACTCAAAAACCTCCAACCCCATCAAAAAACGACTGTGCGTCCCGCAATCCAGAGCGCCATATACACGAATCCACTCAGGTGTCCCAGCATGACTTCAGTAAACTACAAACACGCAAACACACACGGAGCAGACAGCGACCGCACAGCGACAAACACCCACAGACACACTCATCACTCCACGCCGACGAGGAACGGAACGGAGGAACAAACCGAAAAAGCGAATGCAATGTGCCACTTCTAGACACGACTGAACAACTGAGTCACTGCGAACACGCCGACAATCCGTTGGTCCCAGACAGCACCCTCCCTACATGCCACAACTGAACAAAGCCCAGAGTCACCGTGAACACCACAAACAAACAAAACCACTCACCCATCACACTGTTGGGTTTCCTTTAATGAGCCTTATAGTCCGGTGCGGTTTATTTGTGAAAAAAGTTTGAAAATAGACCATTCAATGACAATGCGCCTTATAATCCAGAGTAGGGCTGGGCGATATGGATCAAAAAATATATCTCAATATATTTTGCTATATCTCGATATCTGTACAGGAAAAATAACCCCCTAAAATTGAAAACTTCAAAAACAAATATGCCAAATTCAACAAGGTCTTTTTTATTGAAGTGCAAGAGGTCGGCAGTTCATGTAGGAACAAAATGCTTCAGCCACATTTAAGATTACAAAAAAATTACATAAATAATATTTTAACTGTAAAGTAAAAGAAATAATACATATTTCCTTCTTTTCATTCATAAATAAAACAACTCAACACAAGCTCATCTTTGCATTAACTCTGTTATCCAGACCATAACCATGAGCTCCTTTAGCAGAGGAAGCTTGGGAGGTTCCTTATTTTAACAGACACATGTTCCTCACCAGCATAAGGAGCTTTGAGGTTTCCCACAATCCACTGCAGATCAAACCCAACGTTTCCAAACACTGTTGTACAAGTTACACTGCAGCAAATTATTAATTAAAATCTTCTGCATAAATTAACTTTTCATGACTAAACTTTACAACATATAAACATAACGACTCTAGAGCCACATCAGCCCGCTTGACATTATAATGTAGAATGTGGTGGGCGATCTCTCGATATATTTAAAATATCGAGATATCCCCCACCCCTAATCCAGAGCGCCCTATAGTGCGGAAAATACAGTACTTTATTTGGTATTTTAGTGGCTAAATTTAGTAGTGAAGTTAAGATAACTTTGAATGTGGCACTGAATGGTAGTAAGTAAGTAAGTAGTCTGGTGTAGGAGACATTCCTGGATGAGTGTTGGATCTGGAATATGGAGTCAAATTTTCAGTAGTGCACAGAAATATTCCAAAGTGTGTCTCTTAATGTCAAACCTGTCCTTGTGGTGCACAGTGACTGGTCGGACTGGCAGGCTCACCCAGTGTCTGCAGTGTGTCTGTTCTGTGAGCATCAGTCTGAAACTATGGACCTCATCTACTCTCACATGAAGGTAAGTTTGTCTTGTCTGTGTATTGTCCAAGGACACAACCACAGTCGATGAGCCTGTAATTTTAGTCCAATGCAGCAATGTGCACAAGCTTTTAATGTACCCTTTTCATTTTTATTTTATGTTGTTCTCCAATTCTCAGGACTGCCATGGTTTTGACCTCCACAAACTGAGGCTTGACCTAAGTAAGTTAAGTTAAAGGTTCATGCAGAGTGAGTTAATATGAACATTTTAAGACCAAAATGATGAGGCTCACAGCAGCAGGTACAGAAAGGGCCCACAATATTCTACTGCAGGTCAATGGGAGCCAGGATCTGAAGGAGCTGGAAATGCCGGCATGCAAACGTCCTCTTTGGAATAGGTATGTCCATTTATATGTACAGTCTAAATGGACATAGCTAATCTGCCAGCTGCCACCTTCCAAACACAAAGTGAGCATACATGTGTTTCTGACTCCATTGACTTGGGTTCCAATTGAGTTTAAATTTAAACAACTGTCACCCCCGTCTCTGTAACTGCACCAGTGAAATTCATCATTTTGGTCTTAAAATGTTTATATTAAGCCGCTCTGCATGACCCTGGTGTTTTTATTTCACTATTTGCCCTTTAATAAAGTCCTGTTCATAATATGGACTTTGCAAAGTACAATAAAAGATGAATGAGTGACATCTTTGACTCTTTTTACCTGCAGGTCTCCATTTCTACCAGCAGGTGAAGCTAGTGAACTTCATCCGCCGTGAGATCCACCAGAGCCGCTGTTACGGCTGTGAGAGCAGGTTTGAGAGCAAACAGGAAGTACTACAGCACCTGACCTCAGAGAACCACGTCATGAAACTACCACCAATGTCCACCTGGAACCAGCCTCAGTGAGTGAAAATGTACACACATACACTAGAGCAGTGCAACTAACAACTACTAAGATTAAAAACATAAAATGCCTCTCTCTGATGTGAACGGTCACTCCCTAAACCCCAGCACCTGCAGCCAGAGTCAGTGCTAGTGCAGCCTCTGCAGCTCAGGAAGGGAATTCTGGAGGTTCTGAGCTTCACATGAGGCCTGGTCTATTCATAAACTGAGAATGAGTCAAACTTGAGTTAATTTGTCCTTGATATTTGTAGTATTACTGACCTTTGACCTTTGACCTATGGAAGATGTGAAATTGTATTGCATAAATATCTTCACACGGAGTAAATATCTTCACAAAAGAGCTACAAGAGAAGTTTCATCTGTTAATAAACCAATTGACAGAAGTAAGTTCAGATGAAGTGACAATAATCAACACAAATAAAAAACACTGTTGGGTTTTGATCGAACAATCTCTAAATCTCAAGTCAATGGACTTTCTCCAGAGAAAGAAGAGGAATGAAATGAACTATTCATTCTATGAAGTGTTCCAATGTGTTTTATAATGTTGATTTGTAAATGTCATGTGAATACTTTATTTGTGTAAAATTGTTAATGATTTAAAATGTGTAATTTGTGTCACAAAACCCCCAAGTCACATTCGTCGCCTCATCCCGCACACAACTCACACCTCATTGGCCTCACATTTCCCGCGAAAACTAGTGGGCAATCAGGAAGGCCCCTTATCTTTGACCCCACAGCAGTTCTGTGAGGAGTTCTCTCAGTCGGAAACTGGAGTTGAACAAAGGAGGGACAACAGACCCAGGTCTCCTTCCTAAAGTTGTGCCCATCTCTTGACTGTTTTTTATCAAATTTCCTGTAGCTGATCTGATTGAAAGCAAAGCTTTCATATTTTTCCAAATTTAAATATTAGCATTTTTGTAGCCAATAGTTTTATTGATTGATTAGCATTAATCTGTGACCAAAGCTGTTCAGACCTCGTGGACACTCGGAGTGTCTTCTTCTCCTCTGTAACAGTGGAGATGGTGTTCTTTCAGCCTCAAAGCTAAACTCACAAAGGCCACGTGAGTACTGCTTTAACTCAGAACTCTCAAATTCCAATCTGTAATATCAATTACCTCCTTTAACTAAGGGACCCTTTCCTTGTCACACTACATATAGAAGTGAAAACACTGGCTGAGATGCCGGTTCAGCTCAGGATCAGTTGTGATTTTAGTTTAAAGTTAGTTTATTATTTAAGTTTATTAGATTGTTTTTTCTACCATCAGATGGCAGATATGAAACTAACCTCCATTTTCTCCACCACCAGCACACGCCCACTACTCTGTACTTCCAAGTTCTCCAATTAGATTTACTTAATCTGTTCCTCCCTTAGTCATTTAGCCTCATGTAGTCATTTAGTGTGATGTGTGTCCATAGGAGGGACCCACAACTTCACGACTCTTTGTTGTAACAGTTACGGCATCATCAGCTTCCACTGGGCACCACAGTTTTCTAACACAGAAGTCAAAAGACATCTTTTATCAAGTCATTTTAGATGAATATTGTGATTTAAAATGTGCATGTTATAACATAATGATCCACAGGTGTCATAGATTAGAATTAAGAGCAAACTCACTCACTGTAGTCCTTTAGGAGACTGATAGGTTGATGATGGACTAATTATTTAATTTAAATTAGTGGACTTTTTAATCAGTTTTTTTTCGAAATAACTAACTATACATTTTGTGTATAAATGGGCGCAGTGCACCAGTACATGGATCATAGATATAATGAATAGTTTTGAGAGATTTTGCCACACCCACTTGTTATGTGACTTGGCAGGACAAGTGTCTTTAGTCCAACAAGAAGTTCTTGTTGGACCAAAGACACTTGTTGACACTTGTTACACCTCTAGTTGATACTACTGGGTCAGCAGGTTCTGTATAAAACAAGGCTCTGTGGAGATGTAAGAATTGTTATTTGTAGTGAGCATTAATGACCTAAAGAAGTGTGAGCATTCAGTTGTATTGAATCTTTCTTCCTTAGTCCTTCTATTGCTCATTGTACTACTTTCTGTTTGCAGGTATTACTTCCCCACCTATGAGAACGACGCGCTGCTGTGTACGCTCTCAGACAGTGATGAAGATGGAGATGGAGTCCCAGTGATCGCTGAAGACATCTCAAACCTCAGAGCCATAAAACAGAACAGTGTCCTCAACCAGCTGCTCAAAAACAGAGCCACATGCAGCTGAAGCCGACTCACTTTAAATACAGAACTATAACATGATGTCCTGACTAAAGGGGGCGATGGTGATATGATGATCTCTGCTGCAAAGAGTCAGCCTCCTGGTGTAACATAAGAAGAGAAAAGGACCTTTATTACTGAAACAATGGACAAATTTCATTGTTGCAAATTATGATAGCCTTACAAAATTAAGATGCAAAAACTAAACTTCATTCATTCAATTACAAGAACAGATGAATACAAATATGCAGTGACAAATCAAAATACTATTTACAAATACACTTCACTGGTGAAATGGTGAATGGTCACCTAAATAAATCTCTTTTCTACCTTCAGCAGTTCATATCCCACATCCAGCTTTAACAGTCAGTAGAGCAGTCTGATCCACTGACCCTCACACTTTCACACAATATAAAAATGGAAAGGTGCAATATAAAAATCTTGTCATTTTCTGTTTAACTCTTCAAAACAAATGACCAAAGTATAGTATTAGAACTGAGAATCAAAATCTTCACTTTAAAATTGATTGTATTTTACAATTTACAATTCATCTTTCTTCCAGACTGATGGGCCACTGTTAAAACAAACCCTGACATAAAAATAATAAACACACTGAAATGCTTCTGTGTTGTGTATCAGGGTCCTTCAGACTGTTTTTTTTTTCCGAAACTAGAGGCTATATGTAGGTTGTTGGTCATTTAATTATACTTAATATTTTCTGCAGTACCGGCATGGTGTATTCATTCATTTCATTTAAAAAAATATTGAAGTTGGACCCTCTCTTTGCACATTTTTGCCTTGACAAACCATTTGAAAAAAGTAAATGAAGCTCCTGTGATTGGTATAATCAGCACTTTGAGCTGTGTCCTTCTGGCAATGAAACACATGGACTCTGCAACTGAATCTATATTATCTAAAAAAGATTCAGGGAAGAATTGTACAGTGATGTAGAATGTATTTAGTTAGATAATTCCAACAGACGCGTGTCACAGTTGACTTTTTTTAACTTATCAATCTGAAAAGAAACCTCTGCTCTAGCATATGAACTAAACATGTTCCAATCAAGTATTTTACTGATAACAGTTACTGATGTGTTCATCATAACAAATAAGTGTTTTCAGATCTCAAATATTAATGCAGTAATAATCATGTCGAGTTAGCCTGTTTGGTAGGCTTGTTCTTGGTGGGGATGATGTTTTGTGTTGCTTTTCCCAGTGAAACCTGTCGAATACTGGACCCAAACTGCAGCGTGCTCAGGGTCTCTGACACGTCCTCCACATCAGGACTCACGTTCACAAACACACAGCACTGAAACACACAAGGACACTGTTAAACAAAAGATACAGTTCTATAGTTTTATTAGAGTTTAGTTGACCTCTTGTGGAATGGAAAGCTTGTGATGAAAATGGGCTTTTATAATAATGAAAATAAAGCTTTGGTTTAGTCTGACCTTGGCGTCTCCACTGAGTGAGGGCTGCAGGAGGTGAGTGAGTTTGGAGTTTCTGAACGGGACGTGGAGAGCGTTACACTTCAGAGCGCTGAACACCTGAGGAAAGACCAGACCATTTTATTCTTATGGTTAACTGGTAAGAAGTGGTGAGAAGTTGCATTTTGTTGCACTGTACTCATAAAAATGTATGGACAAGTTGAATCTAATCAAAGTACTTTAAATACATTATTGTCGCCATGGGGAAACAATGCAAACTGCAAACTGCAAAATACTAACAGTAAGTACACACATTTAGATTGTAGACATAAGCTGCAGAGCTGACAGCTTTTATAATAACACTTATGTTGTTGTTTGCAGTGGAAATTATGGTAAAATTATTGCAACCAATCAAATCGAAATTACAATTTGATTGGATTATTTACCATCATTTCCAGTGCAAACAACAACATAAGTGTTATTATAAAACGAGTCAACTCTGGTTATAGATTCATATATTAGTATGTCACTTCTGCTGCTCTTATCCAATGAACAAGTCAAACTGTGGCCAAACCTCCTGATCTCGTCAGAGCTCAGAGGCTCAGCAGGTCGGGCCCGGGTAGTACTTGGATGGGGGACTGCTGGGAATTCCAGGTGCCGCAGGGGGGCAACAGGCACAAAAACTGTTGCTATGTCCTTTGGCAAGACACTTCACCTGCACTGCCCAATATGAAAGTGGTGTGTGTGTGTGTGTGTGTGTGTGATGGTCGGAGGGGCTGATGGTGCAGACTGGCAGCCTCGCTTCCATCTGTCTGCCCCAGGGCAGCTGTGGCTACAGTAATAGTTTACCACCACTGAGTGTGGGGTGAATGAATAATGCACCAAACTGTAAAGCTACTTTGAGCGTCTGACAAAACGCTGTATAAGACTAATGGATCATTATTATGATTATGAAATGATAAACCATCAGAAGGTCAGACTAGTCCCACGCACTTTACACTACACACTCTGAAACTTTTCAGGGGGAGGGTCCGCCACCTGCTTGTTTCCATTAGATGTCATTGTTTTGCCAAGAAAGTGCCACAGTATAGTAATAAACATATCTATCTCCATGGACACAAGCAGCAGGTCAAGTTACAGGTCAGATCTGTGAAGAGGCGCACCCTCTGAATAAACTGAATAAATGCACGATAGATTAATGGCATACTGTGAAACATTCCAGGCAAATCAATAACATCTCATAGATACAAGTATTAGATATTAGATCCTCCGCATCAGGAAAGTTCCGTAGTGTACCTTTAAAGTGTGTGTACCTGTCCCAGAGCAGTGAGGGACTTGTTGATGGCAGCAGCCTCCACCAGCCTCTGTCCTGTCGCCTCAGTTTTGGAGATTCGTTCAGATCCAGCTAGATCACACAGTGTTAGAGTGCCCCTAGAGGTGAGTCCTGACACTTCATCTGAGCCCGCCACCTCCAGCGCCACCACCAGGTGAGAGCGGGAACTGCAGCATCACAACAACAAACCACTGTCAGGTTGTATGTGTGTTTGATGTAACTGTCCATATTTTAATGGAGGCCAGTGTTAGAGCAGAATGAGCCTTCATAAATGTGACTGTTTTGATTTGTTTATTGTTCAAACTTCTGTAATAAGCACATCTTTCCACATACACTGTATATACCTTATATTATTTATATAGTCTATACATATTCTGTAGCCACATGGAAAAATAGAGACAAAGTTCAACATCTTCAGCACAAAAGGACTTTTTGTTTTTACTTTGGTGTTAAAATGTGTGGCATGAAACTAGACAACAGTAGCAATGGGTTATGGGTAATGGTAATGTGTCTCATATTCAGATGTATAGGGTTTTAGTGACACATTTGCTATAAATGGACTCCAAACTTCAGCACAAATATCTTTAGATTCAACACTCTTGGGTTACAAAATAATGCCTTGGTAATATTATTTGAATGAATAATAATAACACATTTGTGTTGACCTTTACCTCCCTGACAAAAGCCCTGATAAAAGTTCAAAGCAAAAATGAACTATTAATGTTTGTACTTATTCTACATGTACATTTAGCAAACAAAACAAAACAAAACAAACAAACAAAAACTTCTTTCAAATACAGCCTCAGAAGCATCAATAAGTGACCAGTGATCAGTTCATTGTGTCTTGTTACCTCTGTATGTTCATCTTGGTGGCAGCGATCTTGCGGTTCTTCTCGCCCGTTTCCATGGCGCTGAGGATGTCAGTCTCAGTCTGGACTTGGACTTGGGTCAGACCTGGGACTGACACAGACTTGCCCTGGACTCTCAGGTCCAAAGCAGATCCAGGACTCTTGGACAGGAGGTCGTTCAAAGTCTCATTGTAGATCTCCAGCATTGAAATCTGGAGAGGCAACATGAGGTTTAATTCCTTAATTTAATAAAAAAATGTAACTTTCCAGGGCATAAATGTTTGTCTGTCTCTAACTGAAAAATTAAAATAAATAGAATATAGGGCTGTTCGATTAATCACACTTTAATCAGGATCTAGATTTAAAAAAATGTAAAATATTCAACATTTGGTCAAAACGTCTCCGGCCGGTCGTCAGTCAGTAAATGCGTGTAGTGTCGAGTTCACACTTTGGTGAAGAAAGTGGGCTGTTGTTGTGCTAAATGACATCGGTTAAACATCTTGTTTATGAACATGAAATCAGTATTGAAAGTTGTTTTTCTATTGATTCTGTAATTATAAACATTAAATGCAATGTAAAATTGAGAATTATCACTTTAAAAAATATTATATTCCTTCATCAGTATGGTACTTCAAAACCTTAATCTAATGCATTTATTTGTGTGTCTAAACTCACCTTTAAAGTGTACGTCACCTTGTCCTTTTCGGCACATATCCGGAGCAGTTCCCGTATGGACCTGTAGGACATATTCAGATCAGAGCCAGGACTTCACACCTGAGCCTTTAATAACCCCATTCTCTGGTGTCACAAATCCCACCATGTCTGGAAACTTTAGCAGCCCAAAGTAAACTGACTCGGTTTATTGGTGAAGTTACAAAAGCTCATCCAATATTTACCAGTGTCACATAAGTCTACGGCCTTTGATAGGAAACAGAATAGAAAATAGTGTTTGAATAGGTCGGCCCATTCAATCATTTTGGGCTTAGGCTGTTTTGTAAAGTCTAAAGGTGCTACTGGAGAACAGAGAGGAGACCAGGGTTTAGAATGAGAACAATATAACTGGAATATTCCACAGTATGGCATTAATCTTAAATAGTTTTTGGGACTTTTTAGAGAACAAAAAACAGCAACAAAAAAAACAAACAATGCATATTGTAGAATATTCTAGACAAAGCAATAATATTTGAACAAAAGGTTAATATATAACACAACATCCCCATAGCTTTCACACTGTGGAGCTTTCTGACTGTACATGTTACAATAATAAGCCAATACAAATAGTTTCTTAATTGAATTGTAATAGACGCTTAATCGTAATAGGAATAATATTATAGTATTTCCTAACCTGATGTTGACCCCCGGCTGCTCCTTGGTGCCCATCATGGTGTAGGTCTTTCCTGAGCCTGTTTGTCCATAGGCCAGAATACAGATGTTGTACCCGTCCACACAGGAGCTGATCACAGGTAACGTCCCAGCAAACACCTCCTCCTGTAACACACACTCAGATTCAGACTCAACCAATATGCACACGTGTGTTTGACATACACATACAAATATAGTCATAAACATCTTTTAGGTTCTCAGCATTTCAGTCAGTGCTAAATGACATAAAGCAGAATTAAACCATGGGTTAAATGTACAGCATACATGTGCCTATAGAGACAGAACACTAAAATCTACCATGAACTGTGTATATTTATATCATTCTGTGTTAATTTAAAGGCTCAATTTCAAACTACATTTTGATATTAAGGAAAGATTAATGACACCAATTTTAGTATCACAGTGTTTGCCCAAAGCTCACCAACTCAAAGAGCTGTGGATTGAGTCCATTTTGGACCAGGGCATTCTCTTGATGTGCCCTTGGGTGAGACACTTCCTTAACCTTGGCAAAGTAGCCCAGGAAAACTGTGACTAGAGATCAGCTAAACACTACCGAATGAATAATGACACAAGTGTAGCGCTATAAGACACTTCTTAAAGATCCTACATTATGCAAAATCCACTCCGA